ACATAAGGTGTCAGGATTTTGGGAGTATTTGGGAAATAAAGTACCACTTAACTGTCAGGTCCAAAAGATTTCATTGTCTGAATCAGAAACTTCAGCTTTTGCTCTTGTGTTGAATCCCTGCAACAATGCTGAAGGGACTGCTAACTGATACGGGTCTTCATAACTTTACTGGGATTTTTACTGGGATCAGATTCTGGCACAGTGACTTTATTATCATCTCTTTACACACAGAAAAAAAAAGAAAAAAGTTAATATTGTGGTTAATAAATATTTAATCCTCTCTTTTTTAAAAAAAATTGTCACTTAGGTGGCTATGGAAAGAGATCAAAATTTTTAGAACAGTGACTTGTAGGTGTCACCCAAAGGATGCGCACCATACAAGCTCGCATTACATAAGCAAAAAGGCAATTCAAGGCCAAGCCTTTCCTTTCTGCCTTTTCTTCATCTTTCCTAGCTCCATGCTGGTGTGTTTTTATGCAAAACCAAGCATCTTTTGTGTTCAGAGAAAGGAGTAATAGAAGTGTCGGTGTTTGTTAACAGATTTGACAAACTGTGGCAGCAAAAGCTATCTTTTTTATATTTTGGCATGAACAGTCACCCTTTTATTGGGCCATTAATGCTATTTCAGAGCGTCACGCTGTATCCACAGGCAATAATTTAGCAGTTGTTTATCAGGAGCTTTCATAAAGCTTTGAATAGTATTATAACATTCAGTAACACTAACAACAGCATTTTGGAAAACATGCCAGTTTACATGGGATATCCATGAATATAGTTGTTCGGGAATGCATGACCCATATAACCTATAAATGTAATTGGAATTTACAGTGCTGGCATAGGCTGATGGATAGCAGATTAGAGCCCTGATTAACCATGTGATTCACAGGCTAGGAATATATTGTCCTAAGAAAGATTCATTAGATGCAATCAGAATTTCAAGTGGTCAGATGAAATTCAAGTATGCTGTTTGCTTTCCTTCCCCCTCATCCCCCGCCCCTTGTGTTTTTCTTTTTAGGTTGCCCTCTTACTCATTTATTTATTTATTTTATTTCCAGAGCTGGAAAATACTACTTTGATGAATCTGTTCTTCACCCTAAAGCTGTCTGTCTGTTATTCATCAGAAAGCAGGTCGCAGTTCAGTGAGCAGAAGAAAAGATTTTAATAGAAGCTGTGCCAAGGGCTGTAATGCATCATTTTAGGGCCCTAATTACATTACAATGACAAATATCAATGGTGACAACAGCAATAACCTACATCCTTTAATGGCTATGCTGGAAAAGGAGTTTGGGCACTGCGCCATCAGATTAGACTTGGTTTCAAAACATAAACCATTAGAAGTGTGTGTGTCCGTAGCATTGCTGGCTGATAACTGAAGCCCAGTGGAAGGGCCTGTCAATAAATGAAGCCTCTCTACAGCCTGGTCCTGCGGGACAAAAGAAGTAAAATTAGATGGCTGTGGGAGCAGCCATGTTTCCGAGGCAGCTTTGACTTTCCATGTGAGGAACTGGATGCCTGGTTTTGTGAAATCATACTTTTTCCTTCTCCTGGCAGTTAGACTGATCATGGAGACCCATTGACCCGGTGCCTAATAGGAAAAAAAAAAACAAAACATTCCTAAATTGTTGTTCAAATCTAGGGTTTTAAAAATGTATGTGAATAGAAATGTGGAGTTGGGCTTTACCTTGTCAGAGTTCAAAGAAGAATGAGTTTCCAGGCTTCCTCCAGGGGAACTAGGAAAAGGTCTATTAAGATGCTAGTCTAGGCCATCAGTACCTACACCTTCAAGCTTCAGGGCAGCATCTCAAGGAACTCACTCAACTGGCTTCTGGCAGCCAACTCCTTTCTCTTGTGTTTTGTGGAAGACAAGCCTGTGGCATTATCTCCTGCAGTAAATTGTTGAAACAGTTGCAGTATTGAGAGGGAGTGTACTTCGTATTTACCGTGTGAAAATGTCTGGTGTGAGACTTTTCTTGGTACAGAGCATGTACCTTCCTATCATTTGTTCATGTACACAGTGTTTTCCTTCATGCCTGCAGACTGGATGTGGTCTCCAAATGTAGGCAGTCCATGTCTCGGTCACGCTGTGTCTCTGCAGTCTGCTGCTGCTCAGCTCAGATGTTTCCTCGCTGCCTGAGGTTGGGGGATGACAAAAGGTAACTGTATGCACAGCCATGCAACTGGGGATGCTCTTCATTAGGGAAAGTGAGGACTGTTTTAGTAAGGAAAACATGCAGACACTTTGGCATAGCGAAGGCTTTTTGGCTTTGTTGTGACCGGCGTAGTAGAGAAATGCTGCTGAGGAATGTTTCAGCTTTAGTTGAAGTTGTATGAGCTCCTTTTGCATGGGCTGAGCTGGGTGGTGTCTCCATCAGCTCACTTCCCTGCATACAGCATGAAAGGACTCGTTCTGCACTTCAGTGGGATTGATATGAAGAGATTTATTGCAGTTGTGTAACTGTGCATATTCAGCCGCCTGTTTTCACTTACAGCTTTTTGAAAACTCTTTTTTTTAGTTGAACATTTCCCAGGTTCAGAATCTGCCAGAGGTGAATTTTTATATAAATACCGAGTGAATATATTTCAGCCACATTTTGGCCAGAAGAGCAGTAGAAGAGAGACATACTTCTGTTGGGGAGGGGGGAGAGAAGTGATCAAAAGAAAGACATCATAACTGAAATAACTTGAAGTATCTATGGTTGAGTACCTTACTTGAGAAGAAATGCCTCAAAGTGAATTGAATAAAATTATTTTTGTTGACTAAGCTATATCCTAGCTGAACAGTAATTTATGGGTTTGATTGCGAAGCCAGTGAAGTTTTACAGCCTGTGTTACCCAGGAGGTCAGAAAAGACAATTGTAACAGTCCCTTCTGGCCTTAAAATCTGTGAATCTGCAAGCTTTTTAAAATTAGGCACTGAGCTTCTGCATGGCACTTGGAGCTGGTTTTGTTCTCAGTTCCTTAGCAGTGCAGTAAAGGTATCCAGCTAATGTAGCTGAGGTAGAAGAGTGTTTTTCCAAAGGCACCCCCATGGAGCTGTGCAGGGCAAGGTTGTGACAGGCATTTTTAAAGATGAGGAGGAGTTGTTTTGCAGCAGAAGAAAGCATGATGAGTCTTTTTTTATTTTTTTTTATGAAGGCACATATGTGTGCTAAATAGCAGGTCAGAGTGACTTCAGCTTATGCCAGGACAGGGGCACTTGGGTATGTTCTGCTCATGTGGAAAAGCCTCGAAGAATAGAATGTGTCGTTTTCTCTCTGGCTTTAGGGCACTCGGGAGATTTCTCCAAAAAATACAGCAGTGTGGCTGGAACCCAAAATTTGGAAATGACTAGATTAATGGTGCTTGAACCACTAAGAACAGGTATTTCCAGCTGTGCCTTGTATTACAGTCTACATTTCCTTAATCAAATACTGTTACTCAAGTAATGCTGTATTGGATTGTGCAGGCTTTCTGGCTGAAGCTTAGGTGCACACAGCTTGTCACTCCCTGTGCTGCTTTGTGTAACAGTCAGTTAATAAATTTTCTTGTCAACTAGTGTAGTAAATGCTGTCTGCTTAAAGGAGTATTTAAATTTTGCCTTGTGGGATATCTATATTATAGGTGCATTTGAAATTTGTGATTAATTTAGATTTTTGCTGGACAGAACATAATATAAAGTATCCTATAAGGTACCTGTGCTGCTCAATAAATAGAAAAGATGTGGTAGACAAATACAAAAAAATTATTAAAATGCATAAATTTGATGAGATGAGGACTTGCATAAACAGTGAAGACTAGTGGGGAGATACAAGGACAGTTTAACATAGAAATTGCTATATAAATAGCATATGGGCATCTAGATGGGTTTCAGAGAATGGAAGAAGCAGTATTCCAAAATAGCATGTGTTAGCTCGTGTGTATCACACAGTATGCACAAGGGGGCAGAGTTAGTTTCACATGTGCTCTTACCTCTTGCAGCCCATGTCTGCTGGTTACATAGCTCTCTAACTGCAATATTCCTTGAACCCAGCTTTATTATATGTAATACTTCTGACTTTTTACTGTTACTTGTGAGCCTTTCTGATCTATAGATTCTTTTCCAAGTGTTTGCCATTTAAAAGACAGCATAGCAAAAAGGCTGGAAGGTTTGCATTTAGAAGAAGGAATACTAAATTGCATGTTAGTATGTGTTCATCACATGATTTGTGACTTTGCAAAAGGCAAAGCATTCTGTCCGATCGTAAAATGAGGATCCTGGCTAGAATTTATTGTAAGAAAATGATGATTTATGGTAGAAAAGTCTGTGTGGCTTTGAATATTCTGCTTCTGGAGCTGTAATTCTTATGTTATCTAAACAGATTTTCTCTGTCTCTGTTGAGATTTTCAGATTAAATACAGAGAATAATAATTGATCTCTGGTGTGAAAATAAAACATCAATTATTATTAATATGTGGTTACAGTTGCCACATGAAAGTAACTACTACTAGCTAGGAGAATGGACAACAGAAGTGTGTTACGGGACTGCAGTATTCCTTTCCAAAATATATGGTAGAATGATTATCAGTGAGATCGTATATTACAGTGCTAATGTTCTCATGATACTGTTACAAGTAAATGGTGTATTTGTTCCCTTTGCTTACAATGACATTGCTCTTATTTGAAATGATCCTTCCTTTTGTATTGTAGGAGAGAGTTTAGTTTGATACACAGAATTTTGTTGATGTTTTTTGTTACATCTCCTGAAGATTCTGTTCTTTAAATTCCTGTTACTGTGTAATCAAAATTAACTACTCTTTGTATCAGTTCTAAATAGTGGTTTTTAAGGAAAATATTTTAGCCAGAAATCACTAGCTTCCTAAGTACATTTGGATCTGTGATTTTGTTATTTTGAGAATATCTCTTGGCCAGAGGACAGCCAGAGTTGGAAAAAAACCAAACAAATGTCTCTTTAGGGTTCATGGGTGACAGTTGCATTTGAGAATTTATGTAATTGAACTTCTTTTTTTTTTGTGACTTGCAGGCAGAAATTGTCAAGAGGCTGAATGCTATATGTGCACAAGTCATTCCCTTCCTGTCCCAAGAGGTAGGTAGTCATTTGTACTGCTTCTGATATAAACGATTGCATCATTGTATCTATCATGAAAGTGGGACTTTGTGTTGAGCCTGTTTCCTTATGAAACTCTTGGCACTTGTAGATGACTTTCCACTGTGCTGTTATCACTTTATCATCATTATCTTCTTCAAGCCTATTATAATATCATTTAGATATATTTATGAGATGGAATGTGTTGTAATGTCAAAGCAGAATTTCAGTTCAAACATTTTTCTTTAACGTACAATATAGTTTTTCTTGCAATTACAATTTTGTGGGTCTGAAACCAAAGACAGCTGGCAAAAATGCTAGAAAGGCATAATTTGTGCTACATCCTTGCCAATGAACATTAAAGTTCGGCAGAAACTTCTGTTTTGGTACATGAATAATGATGTTCAACACAGCAGGCATAGAAACACAGTTTTTATGTTGGCTTTTTTCTCTCTGTATCCCTGATTACTTGCTACCTTAAATCCTTTTATGTTTTTGTGTATTTGGGGAATATAAGCAGAAAATTGAAACTCACTGTGAGCTAATTTCTCTAAGCATTAATTTTCTCCAAATTATGATTTGCTAGTATTACTGTGAGTGCACTGTAGATAATTTAAGAGGCAGTGGGATTTGGGGGAGTTGATGGGAGCTAATGCGGAAGCTTCCGAGCAACTGGATTGTGTGAAGTAAATAGGAAGTGTGGTTCATGAAAGGAAACCTTGGGTGCATAATGGCATCCCTTGTCCACCCCTCTGAAGGAAAGGGGCTGGAGACTGGGATCTGCTGGTGAGGGTTAGTGTAAATCAGTTTAGCACGTGGTTTCATTTCAATGCAAAATGTAGCTGCGAAGACAAAACTCGGAAGGTGTATTTTTGGGTATTGTGTCTGTACAACATCATGCCTGAGAACACAGTGTGAGTTTCTCCTGGCTTTTCAGTTGTTATATAAAATGCCAGTGCTTTTCAAAGTGAGCTGCTTAGCCCACTGCAAATGAGAGGCTGTGCGCTCCATGTTGCTGTTCAGCTAATGAGCTTTGTGTGGGCCACGTTTGTGTGTATCTGTGTGTGTTTGAAATAAGAATAATGCCGTCAAAACTAGAACCCGACAGTGTTTGTGAGTGCCACTGTACTCTCTGCTTATTAAGATGGATTTGTGGGAACTAAGAGATGTGTAATGTTCTTGCTCCATTGCTGGAGGACCAGAATTTGAGTCCGGCACAGGTCTAAAACAAGTAGCTGTTTTGTACTTTCGCTGCTTCAGAGTCTCTATAGGTGTAGTTACATGGAGCTTTTTTTGTTGCTGTGCAGAGATATTTTACCATCTATAGACAGGGGGGAAGGATTGAGAGGGGAAGCATAAAAAAGCTTTTTATGTGTCTTGACAGTGCAACTGCCGGTGACTGTTTTTGTAATGAGTTTGGGAAAATCTTGATGATTGACCTCTGCTAGTAAGAATACATGTTTAATTCAGTTTATATTGACATACAACAATGTGTCAAAAGATAACCAAGCTTCAAATTTGAGTATACTGATAGTCTTGGTTCCTCTCTAATTTGTGTCTTTAAAAAGTTAATGTCTTAATGGAAGTCTATTTATTTCATCATCCAGATTAATAGAGAATTGAATTGCAGCGTGCTCTTGCTGTTTATGCATTTTACATACAGTCTAATTGTGGAATAGTGGCTGAAAAATGTGATCAGGCTTCTTTATATTGTGCCTGAGGGAAAAATGAACAAAATACAGTGGTTGCATGCACTGATGGCAACATTATTGCCTCATAATAGCGCCAGGTTAACTTGTCTTATTGCTTGTTAACTTCGTAAGGAATCAATGGCTTGTGATAACTCACTTAGAAGTAAGAAATTGTGGGCAAAATCACTAGAGATCTTGTAAAAAGGATGCATTTATAATACATCACCCCACTGTGTACTACTGTCTGCTTTGTTTCTGGGGGCAATCCAGTAAAGTATTCAGTACATTCTCCAGGCCTCAGTCCGTTTTATTGTGCTGTACATCATCTAAGCATATATTTAAAACAATGTTTCTAACCTGCCTAAACACACAGTCAACTGGTACCTTGTTTTCACATTTATTCCAGTTTAAGCAGACTGTAAAAAACAGCACCAAGAAATAAATACAAACTTCCCATTTTTTCAGGAAAGAGTGATTCTGTGGTCAAAAATGTCAGATGGACCTCAGGGGCAATTTGTATTTGATTTCTGCTGTGGTTTTGGACTTCTCGTGTTGCAACAGTCATTTTCCACCTCTGTGTGATGTTGTGAGATACCAGTGTGCTCAGAGTAGTTCCTGTTGCTTAAGACGAAAGGGGTGCCTGCAAAGGGTGTAGGTTGTGGCCATTCAGTTAATTTAGTTTTGGTCTGTTGCAGTTGGTAGATAGTTCAGTGTTGCCATGCTTGAATGATCTAGCCCGTACAGTGTAATTAATTTTGTGTCTATAGCCATAGATAGTGTCTCTGCTAATTGACACTTCTCAGCTGGATTTACCAGCTACAGCAGAGTATGGCACTTACACAGCCCTGTGGCTTTTCAAGTTGGGGCTAGTTCCTGTCTGCTCAAGATGGTATGTGTGGCTGGTTGCAACCTTTGGCTGTTGCTGTGGGCTAAGTGCTGAATGTCCTCAAGTGCTGGATAGTGGCATTTCTTCAGTGTATGTGGAGATACATATCACAGTTACCTTATTTTGAGTAAATACTGCCTGTGTTTATATTCATGAAACACATGCAAGCTGGCTGATGTACAGCAAATGCTGTAAGTTGTGGCAATTTGGAGCTCATCACTACTTGCAGAAGCTGCTTGAGAAGCCCATATTGATCCCTGTCAAGTTACGTGCCTCAATGTAAGCATTTTGTAAGACTGAAGGAGGCTGTAATAAACCTTTTTGGAAGGATCACTTTCTCTTTCAAATGCCAGTGAACTAGCTAATAACAAGCTAGATGGGTTGTTTTTTAACAGGCAACTTCAGTTCCCTGTGCACATTAAGGTGGTCAGATGTAGTTACTAGTATAATAAAATGCCAAGCACTGGCATGCATACATGTAAACAAACAAAGGAAGTTCTGCTTGGCGTCTTCTCTTTTCAAACCTTTTGATGATGGTTTTTCCTTTTAAGAGATTGATGTGGGCTATAATATGCTTACTCTTCTTTGTACATTCTTTCCCTAGAGGTGTTTCTGAAGTCTGGTAAATTTACATGAAGAGATGATCCATTATGTAGAAACAGAGCAGGAGTTCTTATATCCTGATCAAGAGGAACTAGCTTTTGGTCTGAGATTCGAGGTTGAGAAGACAGAATTATTTGCCTCCATCTTAGACTTGACCCAGACTAGAGCTAAACAGTAAATACAAGGAAGCTCTGAGAGATCTGTAATCCTTCTGCCAAGGAATGCATCTCATTAGCAATTTATGCATATATTGCTAATAATGCTCTTACATTTTTCTTCAGTAGTTATTATATCTTGTCTGAGTTATGGTGCCTGGAAGCAGTGACCCAGCTTGTCCCTTCTAGCTTTTGCAGTGTGTGCTGTACTCCATGGTAAATGTGTATTTGCTTTCCAATACTCACTAGCATTTTTGGCAGGGCCTTGTCTCATTGTTCTGTCTGTAGATAGGGTTTCCAAGAAGGACAGTGCTGCAGTTCTTAAGCAAGATGTGTATTTCCTCTAAACATGTAACAACAAAATAGTACATGTAAGGAATAGCAGAGGTTGCTGATTCTTCAAAGCAAATTTTTCAGTGAGTTTTGCTTTGGATATTGGTGGTGATCCTGAAGTCAGGCTGTAATTAGGGGTTTTTAACACCAGTATAATTGTGTTTGTGCCTGCGGGAATTTTGGCTGCTCGCTTGCTGTCAGCACAGCTCCCCTGTCATTGGGAGTTGTGGAGAGCTCTGACATGGTATAAAAAGCCTGGGAATTTTCCACCATGTTGCAGTGCTTGTACATAAGCCAGGGCTAGGTGACAACTGTGTGGTGAGACAATGTGATGGTGAAAAAGCCTGTATTCTTCTTGTGGTCTCTGTAGCTGTTGCTACCCACTGTGAGACTTAAAAGAAGTGATTTTCCAACACGAGGCAAGTACAGACACACCACTCATTATAGAATGCAAAAAGGGGTGAGGAAACAGGAGAAGTTAGAAAGGAGAAACAGTACTAGTCTGCATGACAGGTGGGGCAGGGTATTGAGCTCATTGCTCTGGCATGTTAAATGCAGTGCAAAATACTGTTTTCCCATAACTGAAAAAAACCCAGATCTGTCATTTGCTTGTGTGCACAGAGGAAGGCTAGCATTAAATGTGTGTGAAAGTTGCACCCCTGTGTCTATATTTGGCTGGGGATAAAGTAACCCATTTTTGTTGTTGCTGTTTTTACTTGGCTGTAAATTGCTACGATCACTTGGTGGGCAGGTGGATGTGTACTGCTTGGTTTTAACATAATGCTGTTTGTTGCTGTTGTGCTGGCCCAGGAGGGTGTTCAGGCACATGGCAGGTGTTGGAACCATCCATCCATTGGGTGACAGTTCAGTTGGCTGCCATCCTGCTCAGCTGGTCCCTGGGCTCCCTGCCTCTCACCTTTGTTTTGGGTTGCAGTGGGTGCCTGGAGTCATCTGGGCTCCTTCTCTCCGTGTAGAGGCCCTCCCCACAACCTGTTCCTAGAGCCATGGCTGGTAACATGGAGCCCCCAGCCCACCCCATTTTCAGAAGGACTGTGAGCAGACAGCTCTTCAAACCCTGCATGGGCTTTCCTGTGCCTTTTTTCACTCAAGCATGTGGCTTTTGTCTGTAACTTCAAGTAGCACAAGGGTCACTTGAGGCATGCCTCTCATGGGCTTTTTTGGGAGCTGAGGAGGTGCCTTCTCAGTTGTTGCAATGAGCTGGAAGTGGTGGAAAGGCTAATTACAGACCACCTCTTTTGAGTCTTTTGCATACAAAGCCACTGAAGATCAAATCAATGTTAAAGCAGCTACCACTACGAGAGTTTAATTGCCTCTACTGTACCTAATTTAAGTTCAATGTTACTAGGCCCTTGGGTTTTCTCCTCTCTGTGAAGTCCTGATCCCAAACCTATTAGAATCAATGAAGGATGGATTTTGTGGCTGCTCTGGCAGAAATCTGAAAGTGGAGTTTTGGTAGTCCATCCCTTGTCCTTCTTTTCCTCTGACCTGAAAATGAAATAACATTTTCCCCAAATTCTTCTGAGAGCTATTCTTTATGTGTTTGCTGTAAGGGAACAGAAAACGCTCTAGCTCTGTGGAGTTGACTTATTTTCCAAATCTTGGATGCAAATTGAAGTAATTTTTACCATAGTTTTGATAGGTTTAGGCCAGCTTTTGTAGATGCCTTAGAAGTTTTTTCTTCTCCTGGGAACAGAATTCAAGTAAATTGATGTTGGAGTAGAATACTCATGTATACAAGAGCTTTCTTTACCTCAGTGCAAAAAGCATTGCCTGTGAAATGGTACGAAAGAGAAGATGATTAAAAACTACTCAGTAAATGCTTTTATTTAAAAATATAAATATTTTAAAAACTTTGCTTTGTTCTTTGGGGTTTTTTTAATGACTTGATGAAAAATTGCATGATGTGAATGATTTCTACCAGAAAATAGTGGTGTAATTTTTATAATCATGCTGTTGACATACAGAGTCATGGGTCACCAGGCTTTCAGCTATATAATTGGTGAAAGCTCTACCTTTCCTTAACAAGCGATAACCTGGAGCTGATAACGTGTTATCAGGAACTTGGTGCTGAAATGTCATGATTTCCTTTTTTTCTGGTGTCTGTGGTAGGAATACACTGTATTTTAAATTTCAAAAAAGTTTTTCTTGAATACCGAGAAAACGTTTACAGATGTTCAGCCTGTATTTTAGTCTTGACACTGTCTTCTTAAAAGTGGCAGATTGGTTTATATTGGCACTATAGTTTTACAAAACTCTGAATGGAACTTCTGTGATTTTATTTACAGCTACATAGTGGCAGTATTCTAGGTGGTCTTCAGTAATTCCCTTCATGCAGTTTTTTGCTTAAAAACAAACAAACTCTAAAACCGTATTCTTCCTTCTAAATTACAGCCTTCATTACCTGCATTTATCTGATTTTCTTAGTTGGGATCAGAATTTCTTAGTGTCATTGGTTAGGAATGACTAACTCCCCAGTTTAGTGTTCCCACTAAAAAGAAAACCATGCAGACACTTCCCCCACCACCTTCCTTCATGAGAGAAAAAAAGTCAGAGATTATGGGTTGAGATAAGAACAAATTACTGGAAACAGCAGTGAGATAAAGCAGACAGTAACAGTAAGAATGCTAATAACAAAAATATACAGGGAGAGGTCGATGTATAAGCAAAATTGTTCACCAAGCCCAGGACCAAAAACCAATGAAAGACAGACCCTCTAGCTGCCATGCTTTCCCAGACCAAAAGCCATTTCTTCTGGAAGCCTAAGAGTCCCTCATATTTACCTGGGAGCAATGAGATGGGGTGGTATAGAACGGCCCAGACACACCCAAACCTTATGGCTGCTGCGTGAAATTAACTCTGTACAGGCCAAAACCAGGACATACAGTTATGGATGGATTTTTAGGTTTGTTTTCCCTTGCCCTAAGAAGTTTCATGCAAGAGGGCTTGTAAGTGAAAATGCCATTTTTGTTTGTGTGTTTCACTGAGAATTGTGAAATTGGAACCTGCCAACCCCCTGAAGTAGCAGCAGCCTTTTTTACAGCCCCTCCCTTTTAAGCCCCTCCTGCAGTGGGGCTTATAGAGCTCCCTGGGGAGTCTTGATGCTCTTCACCTAATCCCTTTGCTGTAGGTGGTCTTGAGGGTTTTGTTTCTCATTTTATTTTATGCAACTTCTTGCTTCTGCTAAGGACGCACAGGAGGAGTTACTGTACAAGATGGTCTGTACCTTGGCTCCATTCTGCCTGTATACACAGCCGTGGGAGGGTGAACTTGAATCTTTAAAGGGACCTTCTCAACCTTTCCCTTCAACTTTGTGCCAAAAAACATCTGGATGTTGGTTTTGATGCAAAGCTGATGTTTCATTTTTACAGTTCTTGCACCTCTCCAGACAGTCAGGACCTCCCTCCTTTTTCTGTTCAACCTGTGGCTGTAAATCAACGATGTCTTACTCTCAGTGCAGATCACACAACCTACTTGCAGTTCTCCATGACCCCTCCTTGCACTTATTTTTTCTGTGTCATCCTGGTTCTGTGAGGCTGCCTGTGAACATTAATTTGCCACTGGTAGAGGTCTGAACAGGCACGGATCTGGTTGCAAGATGAGAACCTTATTTCGTTTGCAGTTGATGTTTTCAAATAAATACCAGTCAGAGGTTTCAACATACAGCATTTTGAATTTACTTCAGGAATACAGTATCACTCAAACTGATACTACAACCAGTGAAGCTTGTAAACTGTGTTGTTAATTAGACCATGTGTTTTTGATGGGCTTTTTAAAGCCATTAAAATTTACATGTTGGGGATTGAAATAATTAGTTCTATTTCACATGTTTGACAGATTTGTGAATTCCATTTTGAATTTTTTCTTATGGTTGAGCTGCTTTGAAATGTACCTGTATATTCTTCAGTGATGTGATTGCCATGTGCTTGTTGAAAATACATGTCTTTCCTTTGAGAATACTGGGTGGGGTTTTTTCATAAAGTTTCCATGGCTGTAAGGAAAGGGGCTCACATTTGAAGATGGCGTTTAAATTCACAAGCACACTGATGAACAAAAGGATGACAGCTTCCCATTTAGCCAGGTTGTGAAATAGCTCTTTGGGAAGTAAAGGTGTAGTTCCCAGCATGTAATGGCATAAAAATAAAAATCTTCCCTTTGCCTATGTATTTTTGCTTGTCAACACACGATGTAACTGTCTATTAGAGAATAGTTACTTCAGATCCTGCATGTCTTAGAAAAGCAAATAAAAACAGTAGAAGTAAGAATCTGTGCTTAATACTTTAGAAAACAAGTAATTTTATTCTGTTTCTGATCTTCATTTATAGCACCAGCAACAAGTGGTGCAGGCTGTGGAGCGTGCCAAACAAGTGACCATGGCAGAGCTGAACGCAATCATTGGGGTATGTGGTCTTTCCATTTTAGCTCTGAAAGTGTTTGTAAATAGCTTTTCTTTTTCTTTCTCTCTTGCATGAACTAATTTCCATCAGCTGGGCAAAAGTTGTGGGCAATGGTGAAGTTCAGTAGCTTGATCTTCATAAAAGCTGGTTACTACCTGAAGACTTTTGCTTGCACTATGCCAAGAAGACTAATGGGGTAATTAATGTCTGTGTTGTATCTATTCCCCAAAGCAGGCTCAGTATTTGGTTTTTTTTTGTGTTTGTTTTTTTTTGTTTGTTTTGTTTTTTTCTTTTTGTTGTTGTTGTGGTTCTATTTAAGTAACATTGTTTCCTTTCCATACCACCTGCCAGTCTGATTCTGCAGCTGTGGTAACAGGTACCCTTGGTATGATAGACTTTTTTTGCCCATCCCTGCTGCCCATATCTTTTTCTACATTTTGGTTCAAGATTCTGAGTATTAACCACACCTTTTATTTTTACATTTAAAAATAACTGTTACTTTAAAAAAACAAACCCACCCACCGAACCAACCAACCAAAACGTGCCCACCAAAACCAAAATACCCAAACATACCAACAAAGAAAAGAAACCAAAATCAACAGAAGAAAAACTCATCAGCACTGTGCCTTCAGGTGTCCTGCTCTTAGTCATCTATAAATATAGGTGTGTAGAGCCCCTTTTGTAAAGCCTTTAGTGACAGTGATATTAGCCCAGTACAGAGATTTTATAGGTGTGGGCAGCCACAGTTTTTGTATTTTATAAATACAAAATGAAGAGACAGGCATAACAGTGAAAGCCCTGGCTGTTCATACTACATAAAATAAAGGTGAGAAGTCATAACTTAATAACACATTATTCTCTTGTATAATTATGCAGCTGAAGCAAGCAGTTGTTTTAGTTATTCTAATGAAGACACTACAACTGTACTTCGTATCTTCTGCGTCCTCCCAAATGCTTTTTCTTTTGTGTATAGATTATACATAAAAGTATTTTTCTTTTTTTATTCAGTGTATCAAACACACTTTGAAATGCTAATTATTCCATTTACTTTCATTAAAATTCAAATTGCTGAATGAAGATGTGGATAAGGGTCGCCGAATAATCAATCTGAAGTGAAGATATTGCTTCAATTATGCCTCTGTCTTTTAACAAGGAAATCAGGACTTTCTGATCATTGCTGACAGTAGTTTAGAACAGCGGTCTGATTGCAGCTTGTTTTTAATAGGCTGTTTCTAACTCTATTTTGTATACCTCTGACCACAAGAAAGCACTGGTAGTCAATTAGAAATAATAAATGGAAAAGAGTAACCCTTATTTCCTCTGAAGTGCCTGTTAGAAAGAAGGGGGTGAATCAGAGCGCATCGTGTAGAATCATGAATAACATTTGTTGTATGTCTTTTACGCTCCAGTGGGGAGAGTGGGAAATGAATAATTTCCCAATTAGTTTTCATTACCTAAGCAAAAATATTGCCTTTTATTAACATTCTTTGCATAAAGTAAGTGGCTGAAGGTTGGCTTCTTTGTTAAAGCTTTTATGCATGAGTGCTGCATGTGCATTTGTGGTGTGTGTGTCTGCGTGCATGGTTGGTTTTGTGTGTATGTGCACACACATAGGCTTCACAGTCTACCTGTGCACAGTTTTGCCATTCACCTTTGTTTGAATTACAGAGACTGCTAAAAAGAATTTGATTTCTAGTAAAGGAAGCAAGTGTAAAGTGTGTGATGTTACAGATACTGGCAATCTCACTAGTTACTTAAATTTATCCTGCTTTCATGAACAACTAAACCACACTAAACAGATAAGACACTTGTCTGAGAGCCTGGCAGTGATTCTGTTGGTCTTCCCCCCACCAGACAGAAGTAAATTTTCTTTTGTCTTCCTGTCTAAGTTTGCATTTTCATGTCAACTGAAATCCTGCTGTCTCAAACTTCTCTGAACTATCAGACTTCGGGTTTGTGCATTGTCTAGTCCTTGGCTCCCTCACAAGCCTGATTTTTACCGTGCTCTGTTGCCTTTTTTCACTCAGCTGTTTTATGTTGACTTAGGAAGTACTGTGTGTTCCTCTTTAATTTTAGAAAAAACAGGAGTAATACGGACTGGAATTGAATACTCATTAGGTTTAAAGAGAAGTGATCTCATGCAGTCTTTTGGAGATTAATTTTTTAAAGATGGAACAAACAGGAATGCAAATTATCTAATAAGCTTAAGACTGTGTTGCAAGAATCCCACAACAGCGTTATGTCTGCACTTAGAGAGATTTAAAGTTTGAAAATGTAGCATGGGGCTATAGAAAAGACTTGTCATATTTTGTGAAGTGAATACCAGTAAAAATAAAACAAAGAACATAATTGGAAATCATGGCTTTCTTATGTATCTGATTATGTTGTCTTAGGTAGTTTTTCTGTTTAGTAAGTCTGACAGGGTTTGTGTTCTTTTAACATGTGGTATTTTCAAAAACTTCCAATGATTGTTTAACCCATTGAGCTGTGCATCAGATAAAAACAGAAGCAGTATTTGAGTTTTTGAAATAAAACTGTAGCTTAAGTCTCTGTTTTGCAGGCATCCTGTTCTGTTCACCTCACTCATGCTAAACTCCCTTGGTTCAAACAGAGCAAAGTGGCTTTGAGTTAAAAGTGCATGCTACCAGAATGGAGTGTGGCACAAGAAAAGAATTGAAGGTGCACAGATCATATCTCTCTTTGTGTTTCACATGTACATATTTTTGTATGAATGTGCTCTGATTTAATGGAATCTGATGAAGCACCTTTTAACTTTGCAATATTATTCTATCTTCATTGGTAAATGAACCAAATCACTGATCCGTGCAGTTTAAATGCAAAATACTGAAGTGAGCCCGGAACCCAGAGAGACTGCCTGTTCTCCTGACAATAAACTAGTTATGTTTAATGGAATGAAACACTGTTATAATGACTTGTTTCACAGGTCATGTTCAGTTTAAAACTGTTGATGGGCTCAAACAAGTTAAATATCATCTATCATCTTTTGGAGAGATGCAGTGAGAAAAACTAAACCAAAACCGGGTTTATCATAAGGATGTTGCAGGAGGACTGTGAATCTGCAGGCATCCAGAGTCTGCCTCTGGTGTTTGCCATGGGCAGTGTGGTGTGGCTTTCTTCCTAAAGGCAGTCTGTGGTGCTCATCCAGAGCTGCTTTCCAGGCTGGGTGTTCCAGGATGAGCAGCATGATATACCCAGTTGATCTTGTCATGTGTCACGCTGCTGTGTTTTTAGATTAGATAGAATCTGCGAGAACGCACTGTTGGAGCAGCACACAAATCGTAGCCTTAAATCAGTAATATGATCTAATTAGGAATGATGTTTTCATTTCCTGTATTAATAAATTGATTTGTCTGAGTTTCTTAAAATATTGGGTTTTGTTTTCTTTAATGCATTATACTATACAATTGGAACATGCTGTGTGAGTATGGTTACATTTTAATAAGGGAACCAGGGAATTTACTTGTAACTTTTTAAGAATTTTATCTGTTTAAAATAGTTTTTCAACTGCAGTTGCGTAGTAAGGCAGAAATGAAGGCTTGTGTGCCTGCTTATCACATGGAGAGAGATAAATGTACCAAAAACTTAAGAACAGGTATGTGATGGTGTTCAAAGAAAATGCAGTTTAGCACAAGAAATGCTGAACCTCAATTTTTAGCAGTGACATTTTAATGATAGGAAGTCTGCAAAATTATTTGCCATCAATTGTGAAGGCAATAACAAGCCTTGGTGGTTTTTCACACCCTCTGTGTTAAGTGCTTTCAGAATGACAGCGTAAACTGTGTTGGAGAACTCCAAGGAAGTAAAACTGATTAAAATGTTCATGCTTGAATGGTGCTGATGGAATAGTTCATTTGGACTTTCTCTACCTCCTGCAGCTCAAGCTGAAATATTAAAATTCAGTGAATTTAAATCTCTCTCCCCTCAGCTCAGGAAAAAAACATTACATTTTAATAGGTTTTAAACTCATAATTCATTGGTTTGGAGCAGCACTATTAAATCTATTTAAATATTATGTGTATTACTAGGGAAATTATTGAAATAATTCTTTTTCTTTACCATTCTACACATCTGAGTGAAAAAAAGAATGGCTTTGATTTAATTTTTAAGCATTTTGTTTTATTATGCCACTTTTATTATTTTCTTAAAAAATAAGCAAATGGCAGTTAGTGGAAGAAAGGACTCCTTCTGTCTTGTCACATATAATTACTGTGTTAAAATGTTTCTTCTTAAATGCCCTGTTTGTCACAATTTCTACCCTGTGTTTGAGGCCAGTGTGCTTGTTTGACCCATTTCAAAAGGTCTGTAATTTTAGTTTGCTTTCAAGAGAATGATTGTTTTACAGCTGTGGAGAACAACAGCTGTTTAGCAAATAGCACGGAAGCCTTTGAAAGCTGTGTGGTGCAGATGAGTACACACAACTTGAAATGAAGAGTTGGCCTCAGTGCCTGCCATCACTGCCGTGGTGCCTTGTCCAGGGCTGCAGATGCCAAATGCTGCTGAACATGCAGAGGCATCTCCTGCTCCTCTCAGATGGTGGCTTGTTTCTGGCTCATGTGAGTGCGGGTGCTGTGAGGCAGAGTGAGGGTTTTCTGCTTGAACCAGAACACACAGTTTGTGTGGAAAAGTTGTTCCTGCCCAAGAGCGTGCAAGCAGTTAGAACAAGTGTTTATTAGCTTGGGGACAACAGTCCTTTGTTTCTCCAGCCCTTCTGTATTGCTCATTCAAGGTGTGTTAAGCAGTGGTTGATGTTTAAATTGTATAGAACAATCTGGTGGTCTGCTGTATATTGTACACAGGTTGTTAAAGTGGGACAGGAGAGGTGTTTTTGAGGCATTTGCCATCTTGTTCCCTTATTCTCATGTGCCAGCCCCAGAGAGAGCCTTGAAGGTGAGGCCTATTTTAAATAAATCTCTTCCGTATGCAGCATCTTCATTTCGAGAAACTGAAAATTAACATTTTAGGGATTTTTGAGGGAATTAATT